AACAAGTGCCGCCATCCCCCACTCCGGGGCATGGCAGAAACCTACGGGTGCCCCATTCGAAATTCTGCCAAAAAACACACCCACGTGTAACACACCTACCGTTCCAAAACCTACAATATCAATGGCCCAAGTTGCCAAGGTATAATTAATAAAAAAAAAAAAAAAATTTATAGTATGAAACTTTTTATATATATCTATACATTATGATATATACCATATTATCTTTACACCAAAACCAAATAGTAAATTACTAAATTATAGCAAAAGCCAAAAATATGATCCTCATTAAGGAACTTGAAAATTAAATATATATATATTAAAATATAATATATACACTATACGTGTGTTCAATTTTAAAGGTAACAGGAAATATTTCGATCGTGTGACCTTGAATTTGATTCGGGGTTTTTATACTAAATATAGGACTTATAAATACATATTTTTTTAATAAATTCAAATTTTATTTATTTTTTATCAGCGCATGCGCAGTAAAATAAAAATTTCTTAAATAGCAACCACTATTTTGGAGACCGGATTTCGATTTCTTTATTTTTTCTGAACAACTTTGATCTTTACAGTTTGTTGATATCTTCAAAATTGCCATGTTTATGACGGTCGGAAGTTTTAAAATAGTTAATTCGTAAATAATTGTGTGGTGGATGATATCTCTCGGGATATCGTTCACTGCAGTTCAGCATAAAGTGCCACTACGTTACGCGAATTTTGATGACATTCTCCAAAATTTAATACCACATCGGTTTTTTCGGAATAGTTTGCCGTTGTACAGAAAATAATGTGTCACCCGCGACTTACGAAAAACGTTTGACTATTCACAATCAATTTTAGAATGCTATCAAAATATCTTATTCACACAGGTTAAAAGTATAACTTTCATTATAATACTATTAAAAACAAATTAAGATAATAGTAGTAGATAATTTAGTAGTTTTAATAAAAATAAATTGTTATAATAATACCTATAAATACCTATAAATTAAGATAGACCGTTGAAAAATGCGATATTTACCTACAAATTAACTATTTTAAAACTTCCGACCGTCATAAAAATTGCAATTTTGAAGATATCAACATACTGTAAAGATCAAAGTTGTTCAGAAAAAATAAAGAAATCGAAATCCGGTCTCCAAAATAGTGGTTGCTATTTAAGAAATTTTTATTCTACTGCGCATGCGCTGATAAAAAAAATTAAAAATTTGAATTTATTAAAAAAATATGTATTTATAAGTCCTAGGTATATTTAGTATAAAAACCTCGAATCAAATTCAATGTCACACGATCGAAATATTTCCTGTTACCTTTAAAATTGAACACACGGTATAGTATATAGGTGTGTATAAGCTCCCTTCTATTTTTTTATGAAATTATATGATTTTTTATGTAACTTTAATTTATTTTTCATTACAATTTAAACATATTTATACTCCAATTTTGATATATTTGAATTCATTTTTTTCGGGCCTTTTTTTCCGATTACCATCATGGCCACATAATATTATCGAATTTCAGAGAAATCAAAAATTGGTTATAAACCCAATAAGAGAATAAATATCGTGATATCATACAACTATAAAATCAATAAGAAATTTTTAACAAAATATGAAATAAATAAACATTTTATATTTTAAATTTTTATAATTTTTATCATTATTGAATCCTGATTTTTACGCGGTCCCAATCTTAGACTAACACAGAAGGTATCACAGGAATTGTGCCCTAAAATTAATCTCATATAGTGACCTTTTAACAGGGCGTCGCCCTCCCCCCCCCCAACCGGTATTTGCAGCACTAGAGTTGTTGAAGAATTATATTAGTGATAACTAAAGACCGGATTTATATTCTCTTAAAATACCGAAAATATGATGCTAATATTCTCTAAAAACCTTCAAATATTCTCATTATATTCTCTCAAAAATTTAAAAAATATGCTAAAATATGCAAAAATAATCAAAAAACATCATTATATGCTTTAATATGCATTTATTTTTTTAAAATTTTTTTCAACTATATTTTATAGTGAGATATTAATTTGGTATTAAGAGTTGCGTATTATACCTAATGGAATAGTATTGCATTTAGCAAGAGTAGGAAGTTGGAATATAATATAAATATAACAGTATAATATTAAAACACAAAAATAAAATTTTGATATTTGAATATTTGATAAACTTATAAGTTGATCTTATCAGTAGATATACATAGATAAACCTTGATAATACTGCTTGTTTTATTTTTATCAAAATGAAAAAAAAATAAATTGTAAATGGTCAAAAAATTTTTTCAGAGTACCGTAATATTAAAATTAAAAATAAATACAAATTTTTGCTCACAATTTACGAAATATTCCAAAATATGCTAAATGGGTTAAATATTCTCCAACCCATGAAATATTCTCAAATATGCAAAAAAAACTTTTTTCTACGCATTCAGAATTGAACGAATCGTCCACATTTTTTACTCTCATAAGACTGCATAGACCCAGTAACGATATGTAAAAACATATAAATCCGGTCTTTAGTGATAACTGATAAGTGAATACCTGTATCTTTCTTATAATATATTTTACATTTCTATACATATTTCTATATTATATACATATATATATATAATATATATATATATATAATGTATTTTATTAAATTTTCGTAAAAAAAAGCTAAAAGGCTGTAATCTAAATTATAATTTGTTAATTTTATTATAATGGTTGACTTTTTATGAAGAATAAATGGTAGTGTTAATGGTAAAATAAAAGTATTCTCTAAATTAGTGGAAGCATAAATGGAATAAGGGGAAAATATACATTTTATGTTATCAATTTTCACTTTTACACGGCTTGAAACCAATTGAATAAAATTTCTATTTTGGTTTCGATTGTACACTGGTTTCCAATTTTTTTCAGTTTCGGTTTTGGATTTAATACCGATTTCCAATTTTTTCCGATTTTGTTTTTGATGTTGTCATCGGTTTCAGTTTTTAAACGGTTTATACCGGTTTCTAAAATCGGCTTTAAGACCTGGACTATTTACCTTCATTCTTAGTTTATTAATTTTTTTGAATCGCTGGATCGAGGGTCCGATCGCTTATGTGAAGTAAACTTTCAAAAATGTCAAGATACAAAGATTTTCGGTTTATATTTTCGGTTTTTTATTATAATACAGGTATCCAATTTTTTTCGAGTCAGTATTGAATTTAATACCGGTTAAAGTAAATTTTAAATTAGGGGAGGCTTAAAAGTTTTTTGTGACAATGAATAAAAGAAAACTGAGAAAAAAAGGGGCTCCAAAATCGTAAATACGCCAATGGGAGTAGCCATGATTTCTGATAGGGGAATCAAAAACAAAAAAACGAAATAACTAAATGGGAGGGGGAAAATTTTAAAATCCCCTACCATCTCAATACTTTTTTTTAGGTACCTAAAATATTTAACAATAATTAACAATGAATATAATGTGAATTGATTCAAAATTCACATTAAACACAATATGGAAGATTATCCACTCCAATGGGAGGGGATTTGACCCTCACTTTAATACTAAGATAGGTAGGTACTCTACAATAATTGGATTTAAAAGAGTCTACAGCTCATTAGTTACCAATATCAGAAAATAAACAAATAATTCGTTTTGAAAACACCAAAAAAAAAAATGGAAATTTTATTAAAATAAAATATTAATTTCAAAAGGTTCAAATAAACAATAACATAGTAATATAATATCTAAGTAGACTGTATAGACCACCATACAATAAAACAATAAATAGTTTATGGATAGATTATTTCTGTCTTTCAGAATAACATTAACACAATATTTTGAATTTTTTACAATATTATTCTAAATTTTGTTATGAAAAAAAATTGTATGTTAAAAAACTATTAACTAATATACTATAATTATTATGGCAACAATTTATCTCTGTTTACTGGATTGAGCAAACAATGTTGAAAGTATGATGAGAGGTAACTCAATTATAATAATATGCTTATGTTTATATACATAAAAAAAACTTAAAACTATGAGACGATTAGCCGTTTTAACATACTTTCAAAATAATACATTATATAAATTTGAGTAGAAATGTAGAATGACAGTATTTAAAAATAAAAATAAAATTGTTTACATTTGTAACATGGAGAAAATAAATATAGTCTTCTTTAAAACAAAGTATGAAGTAAAAACAACTTTTAACTGTCCTAACATTTTGTTACCTGCTATAATATTGTATAAATCAAAATTAAAATTATACACACAAAAAAAATAAGATTAATGGAAAGCAAAACTTTACATAAGACAATGATAATTATTTATTTTGATATTTTGTAATGATTTGGTCATTTTAATACAATAGAAACATGATTACCATTATTTTAATATAATTTTAAATTCTTGAGCTACCCTGTATATAATACTCTTGAATCTCACATAAAAATGTATTTATAATAGGTAAAACAATTAATAATCAATTAAAAATTACATTTAAACATTACAAATGTAATAAAAATTGCCATTGTTTTTTTTTTTTTGTATATAATACCCAAAATGTAAAACACTAAACATATGTAATTAAACATAATAAACATTATAAAAATATTAAAATTCAACATAGTATAAACTGTAAAATAATGAAATAAATTTAAAGATAAATAATTAAATACCATTATGGAGATTTAAATTTATAAATCACAACATTCCCAAGAAATTTTATCAAAAATATATCTCGAAACCCTTTTTATAAATACTTGTGCTGTATAACAATAATCTATTATATATATTAAAAATATATTGTATAAAATAAAAGATAAAATATAGTTATCAATAATCATTTTATAAAATTCTAGTTGATCTGAATTAGTAGCTCCATTACTATTTCAAAACCAAAATTCAGATATAGTTTGTAATTGTCATTTAACATAAACGTTCAATTTTATAATCTACTACTAATAGGAATATGATTTTATTAGTTTTTTCTTCTCCAATATGGTGATATTAGAGTTTTATAAAATCTTTGAAATTCTCATAATCAGAATCAGATGCAAATATTTTTGACAGCTGACTAAAAGTCGGGCGTTCCTTGGGTTCATATGCCCAACACATCTCCATTGTTTTATAAACTTCGATTGGACACCTTTGAGTTTTTTGTAACCTCTCTCCTTTTTCTAAAATACCAATTACTTCAACACCTTTCATGTTTTCATAGGGTTGCTGTCCATAAGAAAACATTTCCCACAATGTAATACCATAGCTCCACACATCACTAGCACTAGAAAAAGTTCCGTAATTGCATGATTCAGGTGCATACCATTTAATTGGCCATCGTCCACCATGTGAAGCTCTATAATAGTCCTTATCAACATTCAATGTACGCGATAGACCAAAATCGCTAATTTTGGCTTGGTGTCTATCTGCTAAAAGAATGTTTCTGGCTGCCAAATCCCTGTGCACAAAACGTTTTTGTTCTAAGTAACACATACCAGAAGCTATCTGAGCGGCCCACATTTTTAACTCATAATTTGGACTGATGAGTTCTGGGTGTGTGATGATGTGAGTCAACATAGAACCAAGTGCAATAAGCTCTTGAACCATCAACAATGGTGGCCCTTCACATATGCCAATTAATCTTATAATACATTCGTGATTTAAACTCATCATGACATGAGCTTCGCGCAAAAATTCTGATTTATTAGTTGAAGACATATCGTATCGTAGCATTTTTATAGCTACTTTTTCTTCAAAACCATCTCGGTTTTGAAAAGTTCCTTTATAAACTGAACCAAATTCGCCTTCACCAATCACTTCATCTAAAATCAAATTGTCCCTCATAATATTGTCTTGAAATTCGGTTTGATGTTTTGGTTTTGGCTTTTTTAATGTAAATGGAAATCCTTTTGGTAGGGGTGGAATAACTGCTGGACTTACAGGCACTTCTAGTTTATTCGGTAAACCATCAGGAAATAATATATAATGTTGTATTAGATGTTCCAACGAATTCAGATATGGCCCATTGTCAATAAAATAATATTTATCGCGATCTTGGATCTGGAAATGATAACATTGATTAGTACACATCATAGATAAGACATAGCCATTCTGCCTATTCATTCTGACTAAAAAACAACCGTCAACATCTTTTGTTTTCAATATTGCTGTGGCTTCATGACGATCAAGTTTGCCATGATACCATTGATCTTTCCTCGAAGTTGGCGTAGGAGAAACAAACTCATTCAACATTTGTTCAACTTCAGTGTGTCCATTGGTACGTGCTAAGTCTACAGGTAGAAGATCGTCAAAAGTGCGTGGCCTCGATGGAGCATTCATGGACAACAATAAAGCTACAATATCTGCATGGCCTCGGCTTGATGCTTCGTGTAGAGCTACCCATCCAGTCGATGAATTTCTCAACTGAATATTTGCGCCGCCAATCGTCAATAAGATTTTCACAGTGTTCAATAAATTGTTCTGACAAGCGAAATGTAAAGGAGTGTAGCCTTCTGTGTCTCTACAATTCACATTGGCTCCACATGAAATGAGTTTCTCTACAATTTGATCATGGCCCATCTGACTAGCTAAATGCAATGCAGTTTGTCCCTCTTGGTTTTTTGCTTCTAAATTCCGATACCCACATTTTAACAGCTCGGTAACCACTTTGCAATTAGCTTGTGTAATGGCTCTGTGCAAGAGATTAGTACGTCCATGTCTCCTGGTATCGTGAGGTGGAGGATCTTTGACAATAGGCTTGGTCAGTTGCACTCCTAAGCTTGGATCATTTACTTTACAGTAATGTTCAATTAATGTTTCTAACCCGTGCATTATATTTTGTTCGTCAATAGAGAAAAATGCATCTTCACCATGACGCCGTATTTGATAGTGCACTACTTCATTGTTTTGTAACACACAAAGCACATAGTCTCCGGATGCAGAATTGCTTTCTCGTACTAAAAATAGACCATCTTCTTTACTCTCGTGGTCTAATAGAATAATTTCAGCCGTGTCCCTTGATATTTTTCCATGATACCAATTAATATCGACATTTTCACTGTGGTTGTTCATTATTGTTATGATAGTGGTAAACACCTAATAGAAAATTAAAAATAAATTATTTAACCATACAAAAAAACATTAAAAATAAATTTATATAAAAGAAGTCTAAATAAAAAATGATTTGAATAAAAGAACTCAGTGATATACTTTTTAGAATAATTTAGATTTTAGATAAATAAATACCTATAGAACTAATTTAATATTATTACTAGACACTATAGTTATACATTGTATAAAGTATACAATATTGTACAGCTACTTATTAAATTCTAGGTATTTAGAATTTATTTGTAAATATTTGTAATTATTTAGATTGATTCATGTTAAAATAATATAGTATTATATTCACGCTATCTATAATCACTATCGCCATTATCACTTGTTGCATTACATTTATTGTTAAAATATACATTTCACTGTTAACTGCCTAACAATTATAGTAATTTATAAATTTATATGCTTTCAAAATCATCAAAATATTTTGTTAATATTTATAATTAAGATATCTTAAAAATAATAATAATTATAATACCTAACTAACGTGATAAAATTAATAACTTTATCCTTGATTTCTGGTAAAATAACTTCTAAAATTAGATAACAAACATTTGGTCATGCATAAGACCTATGAATACTTTATGCATCATAATGATTGGCTTATTTTATAAAATTTTAAATACTTTGAGTCTTTGACCCTTAACAAAAAAAGAAATTAGACAACAAAGTACATACCTATTTACTTAATAGGTAGGTATATGGATAAAAATTTTTATTTTTAAGTTTTGGTTAATTTAATACAATAATGTTGGCAAATAATATGTTCAATTTACCAATCATTATAGCTAAACCATTTAAAATCAATATATGTATTACATTGTTATTGTAATTTATAGAATTTAGCTTGTACTATTGTAAAAAACTGAATAGTGTAAACTTTATTAAATAAATAAATAAAAATCAATCATTGAAAAAAAACTAATTATTAATTTTATAAACATAATGTTGTAATAGTTATCATTTTTAAATATGACACATTAAAATAAATACAGGAATTATATTATGTTTACAATTAGGTACTTAATGTACTCTTATAATTTTATTTTAAAAGTATTTAATGAAACTGATTTTTATTAGAAAAAAAATTACTTTAGGACTTTTTATAAAATTTTAGATTTATAAGTGCCTGCTTTATATTATTATCAATAAAATGCATATTTTGTACACGTTCAATGTAAAATAAGTTTTATAAGAAAACAATTAGTACCTATCCTACAGAAAAACTATAACACCATGTCTCCATGCATAAAATAAAAAGTAGTTGGTATGTTTTGAAAATTACTTTTTCATTGAAAAATGACACCAATGTTCATAATACTTTGATGAGGGTCGCCAAAAAAACGTTGCAAGCAGTAATCGAACGTAGAACCAACTGGTTTGAATTCAACAAGTGTCTTGAAACTTCAACAATATCACAATGGTATTGATGATGAAACTACTAAATCAAAATGAAACTGGTTTGTATTATTTAGGTAATAAGTACTGACGGTTGCCAAATACTACTGAACGACTTACCTCTAATGGTTTGGTAATAATTAAAGTGTCGAGTGGGGAAGGCTTTCGATTATGATTTTGGATGTGTGACTACTGAGTATACTTATTGTATTTTATTTGTTTAAAGTAAACAACAAGGAAGTGTGTTGGTCGATAAAAAAAAATATTATGCCGATATGCATATTATTATTGTACACCATATAAGATAAATATTATATATAAATATATATATACATAAATACGTGTGCGTGCGTAAAACACACCACAATATAATTGAATGAATGAACAATAACTAAAGTCTAAATTAATTCAATTCATCTTCAGGTTTATAAAAAATTGTTATCTAATATCTGTAATAAAAGCAAGTAAATAAAAGAGATAAGCGACGTTACAGTGCGTGCAAATGGACAAAAAAAATATGTCGCACATCTTGCGAGTCTACAATAAAACTATGCGTTGTGAGCACAAATTAAAATCTTAATAATTATTAAACGGTTAGTTAGTAACTATGAAAAAAAAAATAGTAAGCACAATAATATTCGTTAATCGTGGACCGTGGTTGTGAACTTGTCAAGTGTAAATAGTCATCATAGACGATAGATGTAATAAGTAATAACCGATGGTTGACGATTGTAAGTTTGTTGTGGCTAGAATACTATGGAATACTGGAAGAAGATAATATTATAACTTATATTATAGTAAGTAAATAACTAAATATAAATGAGGACCTACCTACAGGGCTTATAATTCAGGGTATTTCTAGGATATATTGACAGAAAACGATTACAGATTACTGAGATTAGGTAGACTCCACACATATTGTGCACATATTTTACAAGTCACATGTCATGTTAAATTGCCTATATTAATTTCCTTAAGCAGGGTTCGTTTTTTCAAAACTTACATGTATAAAAAATAAGAACTCCAATAACAGGGCCTGAAGTTTGAAGTGACTTTCATCTAATTTTGTAACTTATTAAACCCAACCACAAATTTGGAACACACATGCACACACCATCCCGATCACCTTCCCATCATATATTTCTCATTTATCTCATCTATTTTTTTTTTTTTATTTTTTTTGTGTCTGTCATCACGTTTTAGGACAGTAAAAGTGCTTGGATTTTCTTCAACAGTAGCTTTTCTGATAGGAAAGTGATTCTAGTTGGTACTTTGGGGGGTCAAAAGTAAAAAAAAAGAAAAACAGGAATTTTTACGCAAAATCGGTTTTCCAAAAATTCGATTTTGGTTTTTGGTGTAACTCTAAAAGAAATGAACGTATATACATGAAATTTTCACTGGTTGTTTATATTTGCATTTTATATACACGATTACATTTTCAAAGTACTTTGATTTATTACCAAACTGTGTAGGGAAATTTTCATTTTCCATTTTTTTTAGTTTTTTTTCTAAAAATATCAATAAAATTTTATTTATTGGTTGCGAAAGCTTGAAAATTTAATAAAACGCTCCTAGTATATTGTTTCAAAGGCAGATGAAAAATATTAAAAATCCTTAGTCACAATTTTTTTTTATAAGCATTTAAAGTTCAAAAATTGACAAAATATGAAAAAATCACGAAAATTAGCAAATTATTTGAGTTAAGAATTCGTAAAAATTTTTCTTTTTAAATCTAAGATTTGAAAATGTAATACAAGATTCCTTATAAGATTATCTACCTTTATCAAAAAAAAATTTCTACCGGAAAGTGAAATTAAACTTTTATGAGCATTTAAAATTTTTTTTTTCAAAATTTGTTAATCACTTGATTTCTCATGTAACGATTTTCTTATTTTGTTGTAGGTACTTCAAAAACGAATAACTGTAGATACATGAACATTTCACTGAATGTTTAAATTACCATTACCTATACACAATACAATTTTGAAAATATTTTGACTCTTTTTGAGCTATTTACGGACATTTACCGCTTTTAATTTTTTTTAGTTTTTTTTGCTATAAATATCAATAAAGTTTTATCTGTTGGGCCAAAAAGTGTAAAAATTTAATACAAGGCTCCTGATATATTGTTGCAATATCAGTTGAAAAATATTAAAAATACATAGGCACAGTTTTTTTTTTATAAGCATTTAAAGATCGAATTTTGACAAAATTTATCAAAATCTCGAAAATTATCAATCATTGCAATTAATAAATTATAAAATGTTCAGTTTTTATAGCTAAGGATTGCAAATTTAAAACAAAGGTTCTCATAAATAGTTCATACTGTAACCTAAAAATCTAAAAAATTTATGAACAGTTATTTTTACAGACATTTTAAATTCAAATTTGGACGAAATTACATATTAAAAAACCTAGAATAACTATTTTAGTTATTTTGTTGTGATTGAATAATATTATTCGTGGGTACTTGAAACTTCTAGTGTACTATTATGTATCTATGATAGTATTACGGTTTTTGTTGATGTACCTATAACGCGTACCTAATGGATATTGTGATATGATTAATTTGGAATTTATTATAGGTACCTATTATAGGTCACATTTTGGTTTAGTACCATAGATATGTATATAATATGTCTTATACCTAGACTGACATACCGCCTCCTCTCAGAATCGTTTTTCTTATACATTGATATTATATCGTTGAATTCAAATTTAATATCATCCATTATACAGTGACCCACTTGTAACCTACTGTACAGCAGAGCGACATCCACTTGCCCACCTTTTTACTTTTAAATATTATAATATGAGCGGTCAGTGGAGTGAAATAATGTATTGATCTTAAAATGATATTTAAATCGTTTAAAGCACAAAATGACAAGGCTGCGCCTTAAAATTAAGTTAAAACATTAAGTTAATTAACCACTTACTTTTTCCAAAGCTAACTATTAAACTAACGAGTTAAAGAAAATTATACGAATAACTTTCAACTTAAATTAAGGCCCCTGCAAATGTGTCATTTTTAAGGAGTTGTGTTTAGGCAATTATTTCCCGTGATTACTGATCGTCTTTGTGTGTGTAGTAAATTATCATTAGTGTGTGTGTACTCCCCAACCATCACCCTCGACCAACATCAATTTTCAATACATTGTTATGTCTTATCTGGTTTATGGTTGTACGCACGCACATGCACAAGTCAATAAATGTCTAGATCAAAATTGAAAATATTCAAAACCAATTTATGGACGTGAAATAGCCGTCGCTATGACAGAAATTAAGGTACTTCTAGTGGTTCGATTTAAAAAACGTAAAGATGTTTGAGTTGGTAAACAAGTTTACTTTGCATCGGTCGGAGTACTTTTTCAATTTTAGCAAATTCTTGACGAGAATAAATATTTTACACTAGATGTCAGTCTAGGTGTAAGACATATTATATACTTGTCTATGGAGTAGGGACTATGGTATTTCTATGGTATCTATTTATTTTAATTGGCAGTCGTTGATACACTGCATTGTTAAACTTTAGAGCTGTTGCAGTTTAAAAAAAAATA